CCTTATAGAATTTATAAAACTTTATTCCCAAAGGTTAAAGAAATAATAGAAGAAAACATCTGATATCACTAATGATGAAATAACAAAACATTACATTCATCATCAGAAAGAGATTTATATATAAACTGCTTGCTGGGCACTGTAGTGAGTTGGAAACTATTTTAGATGACTAGACCAATGATACGTGATAACACTTTGGGGCAATTCAAGATATCCCCAACAATATTTAATAGAAATATGACATATGTCTTAAAGTTTCTAAATATAAATTAATTTAAATAATTTAACTTCGTAAATAGATACCATTATTTGTACAGTAAGCATATGACACAGCCCCACTCTAGATGAATATATAATCTGGCAGGGAAGATGATATATACACAAAAAACAGAAAACAATGAGAGAAATAGTACTGATACAGGAGGAATGTGTTTTGTGGATGATAATTAAAGAGTAGGGAGACCATATAATTTATTTAACAATCAAACTGGAACATTTCTGCAAGTGAAAGGGGGAACAATTAATAATTTTGTTGGGGAAAATGGTGCAAATTTCACTGTTCCAAGTAAATTACAACACAAATTAATGATATGTCTATAGAATTTCAGAAAAAGAGAGTTAATTGTAAATTAAAATGACTCCTGAAGTCTTCAAGAAAATGACACCTGCACTTGGCTGTGTCTAGGATGTAACTGGGCAGAAGGAAGTTGAGAATAAATTCTAGTCCAGGTAAATAACATAAGAGACATATTGATTTAAGAATCACCCTAAGATGAAGCTTTGATTATTGTGAAGAGTTGGAGACAATATTGGACGGTTAAGAAACAGATGGGTTAAAGTATAAGAGTGGAACAGACTAATAGATTTGAAATCTCACGAAAAAGTCTCATACGAGAGAGTCACTTAAAATCTATTAGTAGGCATATGACATAAATAGAGTAACACTACTCTTAAATTCCAGTTTGATGTGAGATGGGAATATTACAGGACAACATAGAGTATAAAATGCACAGATATTTTAATTCTACATAATCTATATGTTGCATGATATATTGGAACAAGAATAGTATATGGGTATATCACTGGCATGCAAAGTCAAACACTATTTTTGCATAAATATACTTTTAAGTAAGATTAAATGTTTTCTAAGATTTTTAGAGTGACTGCTAGATTGATTCTGCAAAGAGGGTGCACATAAAGTTATACACACACACACACAAATATATATATATATATATATATATATATATTCGTACTAGCATTTTAGGTAAAAATAACCACTTATGAACACTTCCTATATTCCTAAAATTATGTTAGCACTTTTTATGAAATTTCTCCCAAGATTTTCTAGCTAGGTATTATAATTCTTTTATAGCTAATGAATAGAACTGAAGAAGTCAGGTAATTAGTGAAGGTCACAAAGCTGCTTAGGTGGTGGTGAAAACATTCAAACACATTTTTGCATTGGTATGAAGTCCATGACTTTTCTATTGTGCCACATTACCTTTCATGTGCTCACTGAATTGAGTCTTATGTGGCTTAGTTCTTGCACAGAGGTCCTAGTTGAAATAGGAAGCTGGATACTAACACATCTCATTTCATTCTACTGTGATCAGTGTTAGTACCACTGATATTTTAAGCTTTTCCTTCCACTAAAAATAAGGAATGAGTACTAGAATTAAAAAAAAAAGAATTATCTTCCTTCTCTGCCCATTTTCTACTATGATGTATCCTGGTATTTCTTTTTTTAAGTTTTTATTTAAATTCCAGTTAACATACAGTGTAATATTAGTTTCAGGTGTACAATATAGCGATTCAACACTTCCATACAACACCCAGTGCTCATCAGAGCAAGTGAACTCCTTAATTCCCATCACCTATTTTACCCATTCCCCCATAACCATCACTTTGTTCTCTGTAAAGTCTGTTTCTTGATTTGTTTCTTTTTTCCCTTGCTCATTTGTTTTGTTTCTTAAATTCCACATATGAATGAAATCAGATATTTGTTTTTCTCTGACTTATTTCACTTAGCATTATATACCCTCTAGCTCCATCCATGTTATTGCAAATGGCAAGATTTCATTCTTTTTAATGGTTGAGTTATATTCCATTGTGTGTGTGTGTGTGTGTGTGTATACATATATATATACATCGCTTTTACTTTATCCATTCATCAGTCAACGGATACCACACGGGCTGTTTCCATAATCTGGCTATTGTAGGTAATTCTGCTATAAACATTGTGGTACATGTATTCCTTTGAATTAGTGGTTTCATATTCTTTGGGCAAATACATAGTAGTGCAATTGTTGGATCCTAGGGTAGTTCTATTTTTTTTTTTTTTATTTTATTTATTTGACAGAGAGAGACACAGTGAGAGAGGGAACACAAGCAGGGGGAGTGGGAGAGGGAGAAGCAGGCTTCCCGCTGAGCAGAGAGCCTGATGTGGGCCTCCCAGGACCCTGGGACCATGACCCAAGACGAAGGCAGACGCTTAACGACTGAACCACCCAGGTGCCCTGGTAGTTCTATTTTTAACTTCTTGAAAAACCTCAATACTGTTTTTCACAGTGGCTGCACCAGTTTGCATTCCCACCAACAGTGCAAGACAGTTCCCCTTTCTCCACATCCTAACCAGCACCTGTTTTTCCTTGTGTTTTTGATTCTAGTCATTCTGACAGATGTGAGGTGATATCTCATTGCAGTTTTGCTTTGCTTTTCCCTGATGAGTGATGTTGAGCATCTTTTCCTGTGACTTTTAGCCAGCTGTATGTCTTCAGAAAAATGTCTGTTCATGTCTTCTGACCATTTTTTAGCTGGATTATTTGGGGTTTTTTGAGTGTTGAATTTTTTAAGTTCTTTATATATTTTGGCTACTAACTTTTTATCAGATATGTCATTTGCAAATATCTTCTCCCATTCCACAGCATGTCTTTTAGTTTTGTTGATTGTTTCCTTCACTGTGCAGAAGCTTTTTATCTTGATGAAATTCTTGCTGTTGTTTCCCTTGCCTCTGGAGACCTATCTAGAAAAATGTTGCTATAGCCAATGCCAGAGAAATTACTGCCTGTGTTCTTCTCTAGAATTTTAATGATTTCCTGTATCACATTTAGGTCTTTAATTCATTTAGAATTTATTTTTGTGTATGGTGTAAGAAAGTGGTCCAGCTTCATTCTTCTGCATGTTTCTTTCCAGTTTTCCCAGCACCATTTGTTGAAGAGACTGTCTTTTTCCCATTGCATATTCTTTCCTGCTTTGTCAAAGATTAATTTACCATAGAGTTATGGGTCCATTTCTCTGTTTTCTATTCTGTTCTATTGATCTATGTGTCTATTTTTGTGCCAGTGCCATAATGTTTTGATCACCACAGCTTTGTAACATAACTTGAAGTCTGGAATTGTGATGCCTCCAGCTTTGCTTTTCTTTGTCAAAATTGCTTTGGCTATTCAGGATATTTTGTGGTTCCATACAAATTTTAGGATTGTTCTACCTGTGTGAAAAATGCTGTCGGTATTTTGATAGGGATTGCTTTAAATGTGTAGACTTCTTTGGATGCATACACATTTTAACAATATTTGTTCTTCCAATCATGACCTTCCATTTCTTTGTGTCCTCTTCAATTCTTTAAATCAGTGTTTTACAGTTTTCAGAGTAGAGATCTGTCACCTCTTTGGTTAGATTTATTCCTAAATATCTTATGGCTTTTGGTGCAATGTAACTGGAAGTGATTCTTTGATTTCTCTTTCGCCTGCTTCATGATTGGTGTACAGAAACGCAACAGATTTCTGTACATGAATTTATATCCTGTGACTTTACTGAATTAGTATTAGTTCTAGCAGTTTTTTGGTGGAGTCTTTGGGGTTTTCTACATAAAGTATCATGTCAAATAGTGAAAGTCTGGCTTCTTCCTTGCTGATTTGTATGCCTTTTATATCTTTTTGTTGTTTGAATGGTGTGGCTAGGACTTCCAGTACTATGCTAAATAACAGTGGTGAGTGTAGACATTCCTGTCTTTTTCCCGACCACAGCTCTCAATTTTTCCCCATTGAGCATGATATTAGCTGTGGGTTTTTCATAAATGGCCTTCATTGTATTGAGAAATGTTCCCTCCAAACCTACTTTGTTGAAGGTTTTTATCATGGGTGGATGTTGTACTTTATCAAATGCTTTTTCTGCATCTATTGAGAGGATTATATGGTTCTTGATTAATGTGGTGTATCACATTGATGGATTTGTGAATATTGAACCACCCTTGTAACCCAGGGATAAGTCCCACTTGATCATGATGAATTATTTTTTTTATGTATTGCTGGATTTGGTTCACTAGTATTTTATTGAAGATATTTCTTGAGTTCCATTTAAGCAATTTGTGTGCAGCCACAAGTTTCTTCAGGTGATCCCTATAAATTAGACTCTTATTTTTACCTTTAACAGTAACTTCCTAAATCAGCAGTTTCCACCAAACAACTGGTTTGTATTCTTGGAATTTGCAGTAATCCCTATAGACATATAGTTTTCTATTTCTAAAACTATATTTTTTAACTGTCTTGGGTTGCAAGGAAATTATAGTTTTTTTTTTCATTTTTAAGTCATTTTACTGTTTATACCATAGTCACATTAAAATTGTCAGAACTCCCATGATAGACAGAATAAAGACCTGTCATGCAAGAAAAAACAGTAAAGGCTTCATAAAGTTTAAGAGAAGTACAACAGCAACGCAAGGATGGTGCAGCAATCTTAGGTGACAGTGCCAAGGTGTTTGAGCAGGTAGGAACAAAGGGTGCTACAGGGACAGTTGGCCTGAGGCCACTGCTGTTTCCTAAGAAGAATTTCCTAATATGCTTGGTAAGCAGATCACTTGTAACAGATGAAAATGGAGTAGGGTACCACTTCTGCAGAATAAATTCTGCAAGTAAATCCCTTCTGTGTCCAGGAATTAGAATTGTTAAACTTTAAGGCAGTAGGGCACAAACCAAAGAAAAGCCAGTTTAGAAAACTGAAGTGTCTACAAATCTCATGTTGATAAATGGTTGCTGAATTATGATTTTTCAAAGGTATTCCCATGACCAACACCCAGGGAAATTTTACCACCAATGAAATTCTTAGGCCAAAAAATAAATAGCTACACGTACCAAACCTACACATTGTGAGTTAAAATGGTGCCATGTTAGGGCTTGTGAAAGAACCAGAACAGGAAAAATTATTCAAACAGAAGAGCCTCATCCTTCTCTTCAGACAAAAGTTTAACAGGATCCATCACCTCTCCAGCTGCCTTCCATTGCTCCGGGTCTTTCTCCAAATTTTCCTCGAGAATCTTTTCCTTCTGTATTTCTTTTTTTACCTATAGAACTCTTCTCGCTCTCTCTCATCCAGCTCTCTGATGTTATAAGCAAGACTATGTTCAATCCTGGGAATGATGGCACATTCAATGTCATTTACACACTTGTTGGTTATCTTAATAGCTTCATCCAAAGTAACAAAGGAAGTTTGAAGGGAAGCTAGTTCCACCAGTAATTCCACTGCTTTGACATAATTCCTCTTTAATTCAGCCAATTTTTTCCCACCTCTGGCTAAACCAGTCAGTTTATAACTGTCACTTCCTCCATGGTAATGTTCAAACACTGGCAAAGTAACACCTGCTACATTATCTTTCTTAGCTAGAATCTTCACTAGGGCTTTATTTACATTTTGGATAACTGTGGTGTTGAAGTCCCCTGCTGTGAACTTGGCCTCAGCAAGAGAAAAGGCAGCTTCTCTCATCACTTCACCCATCAGCATTTTAGTCCCTATTATCTTCTTTAGGATCTGTTGAAATCAAAGAGCTAAGGCATCAGATTTTTTTTCTTCAGGAGGTTTGAACCTGTCTGTGCTCCTTTTAACTGAGACTTCATGATGGTCTGTGCCATGCATCAGGGAAAGATTTTAATTTGGTCTTTGCCCTACATTCTGATGGTGATAGTTCGGCTCGGTTCCCTGACCAGGCAATTGTGGCTGCCAACAATCTCCAGCCACAGGATCTTCCTCTATGGGGTCAGCTGGTTGTTGAAATTATAGTATTTTTATTTCAACTATTATAGTTCCTACTAGTCTTATGATTTTGGAAAATATCACTAAGTCTATCACCAGAATTATTAATTAATCAATAAACTAGAAACAGGTTTAGAAGGAAAAAAACAATAATAAAGCCCACACTTGTGGAAAATATCTAAGTAATCCATACTACACAAATAAGTCTGAACAAGTTGGGTTTTTAAGAAATAAATCCCTTCTGTGTCCAGGAATTAGAATTGTTAAACTTTAAGGCAGTAGGGCACTAACCAAAGAAAAGCCAGTTTAGAAAACTGAAAACTTCTGGGCAAATAAATAAAACAGATAAGGGGAAATATGGAAAAGTAATTAAGTCAGGGATAACCAATATATTTTCCCATTCTAATCTTTTATGTCCAAAGTATATGCATGCATGAATATCTAACATTTGTATCTAACATGAATATTAGGCTCACAATAATGGTCACAATTAATTATTTTAATGATGTTAATTTTTAAAAGGCATATTCCCATTTTAAAATGTGTTCTTTAATTGTTCAAAAACCCCTATTATTCAAACTGGACTTTATCATAACATCTAGTTCATAAACAGATTTCGATGATAATATGAAAAGATTGACTACTTGGAAGCTAAGATAATTATAAATGTAAATATATGTAAATATAATTATGAAACTCAAAAACCACCTGACTTTTGCAGAAATCCCTTATAGAATTAGAAAGAGCATACATTTCAAATAGTTCTTGTACCATTTATATTATTGGTATAAATCATACCAACATTTCTATTTTTTCAAACAATCAACTAAAAAATGTCTAGCCAAAAGTTTCATGCTACGTGAATTCATACAAATAGAAATTTGAAGATTTATTACAGTGATTATATCTCAACAGAGATAAATATGTATTTTATGATTAAGATTTTTTTTCTGAAACAGGTGAGCCATAGGGACAAACCTCCAGAGCAGAAAATAAACCATTTCAGTGCCTTTTGATAAATAGACAATATCCACTATTTCTATATGGTGCATGAGAATGTGACAAATAAATTACCTTCATTGAAGATTTGCATGAAGGATTAATGAGCATTAGTTAAGCCGTAAAAGCACAAAGAACGTTTATGAAAAATTACATTGAGCGTAAGAAGTTGAGTGGGAGAGAATCTTATTATAATGGTTTATGTGACCTGAAGATTCTCTACTGCACCTATTGATAAATGTAACTTAAAAACAACCAAAATTCCACATTGAACATGCAAAATTTAGGGAAATCACAACTCTAGAGCGTTTGTCCTCTGTGATTTACCTACTAGAAGGGGGATAAATCATAAAACTCATATTTGTTTCTGTTAATATTTATCCTTCAATAAGTCTTCAAATTTGCACCATAAAACTTGCATAGCATTAAATTAAAAGAAGTAAAGATTAAGATATCTTTAAAAATTCACCATCAATAAAAAATATTGAGTGTTTTGAATACTTACCTTATTAGTTTCCTTTTTCTTTCAATACATAGAACTAAATTAAAATTTAATTATTTTAGGGTGCCTGGGTGGCTCAGTTGGACTGCCTTCGGCTCAGGTCATGATCCTGGAGTCCCGGGATCGAGTCCCCCATCGGGCTCCCTGCTGAGAAGGGAGTCTGCTTCTCCCTCTGAACCTCTTCCCTCTCATGCTATCTCTCATTCTCTCTCTCTCAAATCTCTATCTTTCATTCTCTCTCTCTCAAATAAATAAATAAAATCTTAAAAAATTTTAATTATTTAAATTGTATACAAATGACAAATACCTTTTGGATAGAATATTTTACTGAATAACACAGAAAAATGAGAAAACCTTTTTTTTTTTTAATCAAGGTTTCCATTTTTCTCCCTTTGGAATATTACCCAAGATTAATGCTTTCTACTCATCAAGCACTGCCATCTTGTGGACTTTTTTTTAATTCTAGAAAATACTGGTTAATATAAAAATTATAATGTATGGAACTTTTGGGCGGTTAAATATTTGGAAAATTCTGTAAGTCCTAACGTTAGAGGAGATAAGAAGTAAGTATCCATGTTTGTAATCATGCAATAATATTGCTTTTACTCCCATGGACATCTGCATTTTAGGCACACTCTGCTGCTATTTTATAGCAGGTTTCTGTGCCAGCAAGACACATCCTTACCATTTTACATAGTTAAGACTCGTGTGGCTCTTTGACAGTTTAATTAGGTTGTGACTCAATAGTTAATAAGAATATCCAGAAACCTGCTTTTGTCTGGTGAATGGAATTTAAATACTGCTCTGATTAGTTACTATGAAGCATCAAGGTTTTAACTGGCAAAATTAGACCCCATATCATATATAACTCAACCTAACAAGTACTTGAAACCCTTATTACTTAGGTTTTCTTTTTTTTTCAAATAAAAATTTATGCTCAATAAGAATTCTTTGTCGTTTTGATTTCTGTATCTTAGTTTCCTCATCATAAAATTGAGTTACCTATTCTTGTAAGGATTACATAAATTAATATACATAGAGCACACTGTCTGGTACATACTAAGTGCTATACAAGTTTACTGGATGCTATTGGTACCACACCCAGATCTCCTTTACCTGGTTAAAGTGCCTATCCAGCAGCTGCCCCTTCTCCAGAGAATTTCCCTTTATCTAAGGAATTGTGCTCTGCGTCCTCATGGCACTTCACCTACCACAGCTAGCAGCCAATATCCAACTGATGCAGGAGAAGAGGCTACAAAAGGCTGAATCTCTTTACCTTCCACTGCCAACTCACCAATTCTGCAGTTAAATTTGTGTTCCATAGTCACAAGTGGGATTAGTCTTAAACTAATCTCTGGCAGGAACCACATCCTTGATTAGCTGATTTTTTCCCCCTTACTGTTTCCTGCCTTTCTTAATTCCTTCTCCTGGGAACACCTCATCAATAAACCACATTCAAAGAACCTCCTTCTCAGATTCCGTTTCTATAAAACTGACCTTCACTATTGTTGTTGTTATTATTTAAGGTAAACTCTTCATATTTTTGATAAGTACATCAAGGTGATCTTCCCTAGAAAAATTCTAGAGTACATATATTCTGTTGTTGATTAAGAGCTGGGATCTCTGGGCTTTGACAATGAATTGTGGGAAGTCTAGAGTGAATGCTTTTTAATGCAAAGTTCTAAGCTTAAATTGAACTTGTGCCACTGACTAGCACACTGGTGAGTAAATGCTGGTCCCTGACCTGATGGAGTTTAAAACTCAATAAAAATAATTTAAAAACCCCTTAGCAAAGCAAGAAATTTAGGTTGCCTTTTGAAAAGAATTAGCAACGAACTTTATATCTAGACACAGGGCTCTTGGGATTTAAAAACAAAAAGTCCTTTGCTGTGTGAAGCAGTCCACAGAGAAAGTAAAAATAGCTTACTGTCCCCCAGGTGATGTAATCACTTAAACTCTATTACTTGGAATTCTCTTACTCAGATTCATTTGAGTTGCAGATCATGAGAGAATGCCAGTTTACTACTGTTTCTATTATAAATATTCTTTTCTTTATCTTTTATTTTGCTAAGGTGTTTTGAGTTATATGCATATAAAATTTTATTTTGTCTGGGTGACATAATTTTGAAGCAGAACTCTGCTGCTTCTGACTCTAAATAATAAACAAATGGAAATACATGTTTCAAAACTTTTTTTGAAAAAACAGGAGTTAATACTTTGTTTTGTTCAACTAAGATAACTGAAATTTAAAGTAATCATACAGCCTACCTTTGTATTGAAGCAATTTCGTTTTTTAAACATGACAAATGTTCTCTCATATTCTTGACAACATCTTTAAAAATACCTTGATTCCCTAGGTACTAACCAAGTGTCAGGTAGACAGCTTTATTCTATTGTTATTCTCAGAATTTTTGCCTTTAGCTATGTTTTATAGTGCAATTCTTGACACTTGTAGAAATTAAATCCAAATGTACAAGGTTTAAGGTGAATCTGCACTGTATCATATCCTGCATTCTACTAGGTCATTTATCCGACCTAACAGCTATTCTTACTGAGTAGTTATATTGAACATTCTCATTTAAGTGGGTTACATAATCCTCAGCACAATATATAATATAAACCTTACTATCCCATTCTATGGATACTGAAAATGAGGTTCAGAAAGATTAGAATATAATAAAAAAGAATATGATAATTTAAACAGTATGATATAATGATAAAATAGAGGCTTAGAGTGACTCGGACAAATCTGAATTTTTCCTCATATGTTATTAGCCGTAATTTTCTACTGTTTCCTTACCTGCTTGAGCCCCAGAATCTTGATAATGAATATGATTATAACAATAATAATAACTGACCACATCTAGTTCTGTAGTACTATCCTTATTCGAAATATCTCATTTAACCTATAATTTCATCCATTTTATAGATGAGAAGACTAAAACTTAAATAAAGTTAAAGAGCGTGCCCAAAGATGCATAGTCAGTAGATCACACAGGCATCTCTGAAATTCTGATCTTTGTGATTGCAAAGTCCATGGTGTTATTCACATGATTCTGCCTTCTAACAGTGAGTGGGGTGGTGGGATTGGAAAACAGTGTAAAGTGCGTGATTCATAGTGAAGTCTCAAGTTAGTTCCTTTCCCAGTCCCTGGCAACATCCTAAGTAGTGTTTTGCATATAATAATTTATCGCTACTTAATTGTTGACACTTCCAGTTATCTTGATCTCAGTCCTCATCCTAAATCTAGCAGCCAATAAAATTTTTATATATGATCCATTTATTACTTGAGCTGTTGAGTCAGCTTCCTCAACAAAATGTCAGGTGAACATGTCCAAGCACAAGAGAAATGACTGACCATCATGGAGGCTTTAACCTGAGAGAGAAGTTGGACCACGTCAAAATTTAATGCCCCTT